ACCCCACAACAACCCATTGGTCCCATTACATTAAATTCCCCTGAGGTGTTGATTTCAATAGCCAGTGCTTCTCCAACCACCACATTTCATGATCATTTTGTCGCTCTACCAGAGCAGATCCATTAGTCAGCAACTCACTAATGGAAATAAACAAACTTGCCAATCTGAAAAAAAAAACATGCCACTATGACAGAAGAGAAAAAAAGATGACAGACAGAGGGAAACTGAATTTGAAAGATATATGTATGCTAGAAGAAAGGTGTGGGGGACAGCAAGTGAAGTTCAAAAGCAGGTGGGTACAGATGTGGACAAAATTGTTGGTACCCTTCTGTTAAACAAAGAGAAGCTCACAATGGTCACTGAAATAACGTGAAACTGACAAAAGTAATAAATAAAAATTTACTGAAAATTAACTAATGAAAATCAGTCATTGCTTTTGAATTGTGGTTCAACAGAAGCATTTTTAAAAAACAAACTAATGAAACTGGCCTGGACAAAAATGATGGTACCCCTAGAAAGGATTGAAAATAATTTGACCATAGAGACATGTTAAACTAAAGTGTGTCCTCTAATTAGCATCACAGGTGTTTTCAAACTTGTAATCAGTCAGTCTGCCTATTTAGAGGGTGAAAAGTAGTCACTGTGCTGTTTGGTATCATGGTGTGTACCATACTGAACATGGACCACAGAAAGCTAAGGAGAGAGTTGTCTCAGGAGATTAGAAAGAAAATTATAGACAAACATGTTAAAGGTAAAGGCTATAAGACCATCTCCAAGCAGCCTGATGTTCCTGTGACTACAGTGGCACATATTATTCAGAAGTTTAAGGTCCACGGTACTGTAGCAAACCTCCCTGGACATGGCCGCAAGAGGAAAATTGATGACAAATTGAAGAAACGGATAATGCAAATAGTAACCAAAGAGCCCAGAACAACTTCCAAAGAGATTAGAGGTGAACTCCAAGGTCAAGGTACATCAGTATCAGATTGCACCATCTGTCGCTGTCTGAGCCACAGTGGACTTCATGGAAGACGACCAAGGAGGACTCCACTGTTGAAAGCAACTCATAAAAAAGTGAAAATGAAATTTGCCAAAATGCATACTGACCAGCCACAAAGCTTCTGGGAGAATGTTCTTTGGACAGATGAGACAAAACTGGAACTGTTTGGCAAGTCACATCAGCTCTATGTTCACAGACGCAAAAATGAAGCATACAAAGAAAAGAACACTGTACCTACTGTGAAACATGGAGGAGGCTCAGTTATGTTCTGGGGCTGCTTTGCTGTATCTGGCACAGGGTGTCTTGAATCTGTGCAGGGTACAATGAAATCTCAAAACTATCAAGGCATTCTGGAGTGAAATGTGCTGCCCAGTGTCAGAAAGCTTGGTCTCAGTCGCAGGTCATGGGTCCTTCAACAGGATAATGACCCAAAACACACAGCTAAAAACACCCAAGAATGGCTAAGAAGAAAACATTGGACTGTTCTGAAGTGGCCTTCTATGAACCCTGATCTAAATCGTATTGAACATCTGTGGAAAGAGCTGAAACATGCAGTCTGGAAAAGGCATTCTTCAAACCTGAGACAACTGGAGTAGTTTGCTCACGAAGAGTGGGCCAAAATACCTGTCGACAGGTGCAGAAGTCTCATTGGGAGTTACAGAAATCGCTTGATTGCGGTGATTGCCTCAAAAGGTTGTGCAAGTTAAGGGTACCTTCATTTTTGTCCAGGCCAGTTTCATTAGTTTTCTTTTTAAATGCTTCTGTTGACCACAATTCAAAAGCAATGACTGGCATTAGTTAATTTTCAGTAAATTTTTATTTATTATTACTTTTGTCAGTTTCACGTTATTTCAGTGACCATTGTGAGTTTCTCTTTAACAGAAGGGTACCAACAATTTTGTCCACATCTGTATGAAGCAGCACTGGGCTCTCTTTTTCTTACACCTTTCTTCCTATCCATGCTGCACCCCGTGGCATAGGATGGACTGGTAATGGGAGAGGAAGGGAAGGCAGTTCAAAGTCTATCCTCTCACCCCCTCTAACCTCCCACAGTAATGAGCAGAAAAACAGCTGTGAGCTGTACACTCCCTACTCCTCAATCACTGTCCCATGGGCCTGAAACAAACTAAGGCATAGACATAGGATATGAACCTACAGAAGCTCTTAACACATGCACTGTAAGGTCTTCTCTCTATCTCACAGACACATACAGCACATGCACTCAGGTTGTCTGTGCAGATTCTCAGTCATCCAGGTCATAGTAAAATGAAAAAAACTTAGAAAAAAAAATCAACTGGACTTAGATTTCTAGATCAAAGACATTTAACCTCTCATCCAAGAGGCTTCATCAGTTCTGACTGACTGGTGTTGAGCCGGAGATATTTCCCCCGTCGACCGACGCCTATTGTCCTGGTGCGCATGTTTGGGCAGAGATCTCAAAACAGGATTGTAAATGGAAGACAAGTTGTGTCTTAGTCCACCATCTACAATCCTGTTTTGAGATCTCTGCCCAAACATGCCCACCAGGACAATAGGCGTCGGTCGACAGGGGAGGTTTCAAAGACGGGTAACAACTCTCACCGATACTGGGCTGCAACGACTCAGTCGTTAAGGGACATCGTTGGCCTTCAAAGGACTGAAACACCACCGAGGGGGATAAATATCTCCGGCTCAACACCAATCAGTCAAAACTGATGAAGCCTCTTGGATGAGAGGTGAAACGTCTTCAATCTAGAAATCTAAGTCCAGTTGATTTTTTTTTCAGAAGGTTTTTTCATGCACTCAGGTTATGTAACTTTGGGGAAAAAAGGATGTTTCATACCTTTTCTTACCAACTTTAGCTTGGACCAAATTTCAGGGATAGTGCTAAGCAGACCAATAAAAAAAGCATTATAAGATGCAAACTGAATTAAAGAGTTTCAGTCCATCTAGAAAACTTGAGCCTCTTTCCACATACAATATTTGACGACACATCACCAACCACCCCAGTGTTTTTTTTTTTTGAGGTCAGTCCATTCTACATTCACCACAGAGCTGTTTGACATCGGTTCCAACCAAACTGATGGCCAATCTATATCATACATGTGAGAACCATTATGTCACAGTTTTGACTTGCTGCTAAAAACTTAAATCCAGATGTAATATCTGAGAAAATTATAAAAATGACAACCCATAGAGCTCTGAAGGGCAGTAAAATAAGACGACTCAAATATAGTGAATAATGTGAATTAATCCTACTAGAAAGCATGCATATACAGTGGGTACGGAAAGTATTCAAACCCCCTTAAATTTTTCACTCTTTGTTATATTGCAGCCATATGCTGAAATCATTTAAGTTCTTTTTATTCCTCATTAATGTACACACAGCACCCCATATTCACAAAAAAACACAGAATTTGACAATTTTGCAGATTTATTAAAAAAGAAAAACTGAAATATCACATGGTCATAAGTATTAAGACCCTTTGCTCAGTATTTAGTAGAAGCACCCTTTTGAGCTAATACAGCCATGAGTCTTTTGGGGAATGATGCAACAAGTTTTTCACACCTGCATTTGGGGATCCTCTGCCATTCCTCCTTGCAGATCCTCTCCAGTTCTGTCAGGTTGGACGGTAAACGTTGGTGGACAGCCATTTTCAGGTCTCTCCAGAGATGCTCAATTGGGTTTAAGTCAGGGCTCTGGCTGGGCCATTCA